AGGGAAGCTTTCTCAGCCATTGTCCCCCAGGGCCCCAAGATTGGAAAAACAGAGATTGGTCCTCTACTGAGGATTTGAGTGCAAAATTAACACTAGGGAGTGTTTGTTGACACATGGAACATCTTGAAGATAGAGCCAAGAAAAAAAAATGGAACAGATCAAGCCATAGCATTTACAATATGGCATGTCTTAAAAATTTTGATGGCATATTTCAGGCCAACCTTTGAAGAAAAAATGCTAGTAAGTTGCTGGATGTCATCCAGGATCGCTGCACTTTTCCCTTAGAGTTTGCCCGCCACTCAAAGAAAAGTGTCATTTTGTGCTGTAGTTACTGTGATGTCCTGTGTTAATGAATTCGTCAGGACCTTGTTCTATTTATCCAGTCATTTAGCTTCCTTTCATGCCAACTCCATGTCTCTAAAGGGCACTGCCGATTTAAAAGAACTCACATTAAAATATGCACATTAGTACTGTTTTAGGAATAAAATCATCTTTATTCTGCCCCCAATTATGGTATCTTGCATTTCATTACAGAGGAAAGGTTAGAAACTTTTATCAAGCAGTCATTCATGGGGATTTATCTACGTCTAAAATATAATTAATCATCTGTTGTCATGTCTTTATTATTCCCCACTAGTCTCTGGAGCCAATCACCTTTATTTCTTCTTCATTTGTATTCCTCTGACCTTCCTTTTGTCTCTGATACCAGAGACCTCAGGTAAATTCCAGCTGACTGCTCCAAAAGAACTGGATATTGTTAAATCATTTGTCAACCATATTATCAGCTCACAAACACACAATCTCTCTGCAAATGTTTAGCATTTCCCCCATATAACGCAATAGTGCAAGTATTACCCACGGATGGCATCTGTCAATGTTGACAAAAATTAAATTTTTTACACTATTGTAAATAATGAAGCAGTCCTAGAAAGATTATTTCTCTGGAGCCTAAGCTATCAACAAACATGATTTGCATTTTGTGCCTACAGCTGTTTCAACATGACTTGTTTGTTGTGCTTCATTTAAATGATTTGATTTGTCAGATTCCAGGAGTGCTACAAGTTCTCCTACCTAACGTCACAGGTATCCAAGCAGGGATAGATCAGATGTTCAGAACTGTGTATATGGATACTCTGAGCAAAATCTGAAAGATCATTAGCAATACATTTAACAGCAAGAGTGTGTGTTAGAGTATGAAAAATATATGAATTTATAAAGACTTCTCAATTTTTAAAGATCAGCAGTATAGAAACCCTTTTCTTAGAAATGCCATCTTGCAAATTCTTTCCCTTGTTTATGGCAATTACAAAAGCTTGAGAATCCTGTCACCATCAGTCTGAAACTAATTTAAGTAAATGAAGATTTAATAGATACTCTTGTTTTTAAAATGTTCACTTTGAAAGGAGTATTTTCAACAGAGAGGAAAAATATTCAGGCAGGAACAGAATATGGAGTCAGATTTTTACCAGTCCCTTTTCCACAGATCTGTTAGGAAAATAATACTTATTGGTTCTGATCTCTGGATGCTGGAATCTGTCTTTCCAACATGTCTGGAAACCATCAAACTGAACAAGGATGGTTTAGCCCATATCTCAGTTTATTTATTTATTAAACATTTACATCCTGGATTTTAAGGCAATACATTCCCCAAAACAGGTTTACAACTAACATCTACAATAAAATTTTCCAGATCATTGTGGATTTTAGCAAAATAATCCAAAACAGGACCATTTAAAATAGATCTTCTAAAATTACCCCAAGCCTTAATGTCAGTTGGAAGCATCTTTTGGACTTTTTGCAGGAGACAGAAAAAGAAATGAAATTATGATATATGGATATGGTGATTAGTTAAAATAATAGGTTGCAAAAAATATGTATGCTAAGATGTAGTCTTAGAGTAAGAGGTTATTATATGATTTATCTATATCTGCTGTATAAGAAGTCGGAAGTCATTCTTTTTGTAATATATGGATATGGTGATTAGTTAAAATAATAGGTTGCAAAAAATATGTATGCTAAGATGTAGTCTTAGAGTAAGAGGTTATTATATGATTTATCTATATCTGCTGTATAAGAAGTCGGAAGTCATTCTTTTTGTAATTTTTCCTTTCTTCCCTTTACTTTCTTTATTTCTAACTCTCTTGTTCTCTACTTCTCTCTTTGATTATTAGTTCTTGTTTGATTTTATCTTTATGCTTTTTATAAGTTAATAAAGTTTTTATTAAAAAAAATTACCCCAAGTCTAATTATTACCTAGGATGGTTTTTAAATGGTCATATTGACTCATCTAGTTGGATACAGAGAAGGCTAAAAAAATTACAGAAGATACATCCTAAAGAAGATCTGTCTATAGTATGTGGTTGCTAAGAGCTGACACTGAGTTGATGACACATAATCATCATCAAAACCTAACATTGTTTGGTGGATGAAATCTGGTAAGTTTGCTTATGAGTTCTTCTGCTCATCAGAACAGTTATTAGTTCAAGGCATAATACAACTGGCAAATCTGAAGAATCTTTTGCTTAAAATAATTTATCAGTGAAGGGTATAAGCTAAAGCAGAACCCCTTTTATCTTCTCTTTAGACCTACAAGCATGGTTGGTATCGAAAGTTATCATTGTTTGGCACCTGCTGAAGTGCATAAAAGGAGTCCTTATTCCTACGGTGCCTGTTTCTCACTCCCTGTTCACCTGCCTGTTCTGAATGAGCAAGCAATGAGACCAAGGAGAGCCAATTTCTCTGTATACTTTATCACATCCCTCTTGGAAGTGGTGTGAGTGGAATGGCAATGGTGAGTTTGCCCAGTAGCTCTTAAAGCCCACACTGTTAATTCAGGGAGGGACAGTGGGTGGGATGAAGCATCTAAAAAGTGCAAAGAAAAAGAGGGAGAGGGAGTGAAATCTCACTAGTGACCTAATGCACTTGTAGGTGATTTCAGTGTGAAACTAAATGAGCAGAACATTTGGTTATTAACTGACTCCATAAGCACAAAATTGTTGTATGAAATTGAAAACAACTGCCCTTGGACAAAACACTTTCTTCCTCTGATGATGTTTATAATGGAGCCATAACAAGAGTGATCCAAGTAACACTTTGTTTCTTTTGTAGAGATAAAGTTATCTAGTGTCTTTTATCAATTAGAGATCACCTATAATAGGTTCTGTCAACAGGGATTCTATTCTCTATTCACAGCATCTATCAAATGTGACTTGCCGGAATTATTTTTGTTGTTGTTTTGGTGAGTTTGAGTCAGGGTTGATTCCTGGTGACTGCCTGGACAAGTCCCTGAAGTTTTCCTGGCAAGATTTCAGAAGTGGTTTGTCATTGCCAGGGGTAAGAGAAAGAGACTTGCCCAAGGCAAGGTCACCCAGCTGGCTTTGTGCCTAATTAAGGACTAGAACTCATAGTCTCATGGTTTCTAGTCTAGTGCTTTAACCACTGCACCAAACTGGCTCTCTTGCCAGAAAATATAGCCCTTGAATACCCACAATTTCAATCTCATGGTTGTCTTCAAAACTCCTTCATTAGCCGAAAAACTCTCCTAATACCTGTATGTATGTAACCATCTGTTTGTAAGTATTCTGGATGTCCTAGACACCCCCCATCCCCATTACATATTTCTCTAAACTGAAAAGCTGCATGATTTTTTAATCCATAGGATTTTATCAGTTTAAATCACTCAGATTATATTCAGATCATACATAGCACCACTTCTCTAGGGTAATACAGAAGTTATATGGGATCACTATTAGATGAACTTGTGGCCAGGGGTAGGGAAGTTTTCTTTTTCAACAACAGTTTCTTCTCCTTTTGGACTATGATAGGATGCAAAGCTAATTATGTGTACATGTGGCCCCTAAAAACCTTGAGTATGTTCCCAAGAGATTGTCCATTGTATTTGTAATGTGTCTGAAGGAGAAAATAATTAAATACATCTAATAGGAGTGCAGGTGCAATGCATTTGATGTTGATTTAATTGAAATGTAAATGAAATTATATTTAATTTTTGTTCTGGTTTCACCCACTATTGTTTAGTAATCTCTTCTGGCATACCATTCAAAGACCCTTGAGGGGTATGCCAGAAGGCAGAATTGTATGCTCTTCCAATTCCATAGTTCAGATTTGATGATTCCTTGGACTGAGGAAAAAAATCCATTCTCCTGCTTTACATTAGACACCCTGCAATATAACCCCCACTTATCTGTTTGGTCTGTTTCTCTTGTCACCTTTATCTCCTTCCTAGTTGTATTCAACTATTGTGTTAAGAGAGACTTTCTGCACTGCCTCACCAGAGTTCTGCTGGCATGGAGCAAGCCTTGCATGTGGGCAGAGAACCTCTACTGATATTAAGCAGGGCAGGTTCAAGGTGTATGACCCCATTCTTCCCCTGCATACTTTTCAACGGTCTTCCAGTGATCTTCATTTTAGATAGTAAATGCATTTAGGCTAAGGCATTCTTTTTTTGGAGAATTCTGTGAAGTGTCATGACCATTAATATTCATTTATAGAATGAAAAATAATGCTAGTTGAGACTCTTCTGTCTAATAAGTTCTTTTCAAAAGAAACAGTCACTATTTCAGATTCTTCAAAATCACTTATTAATAAGTTCTGATTCTAATTAATAAGTCCTGTCTTCTAAGTTCTAGAAAAGGTTATCAGAAAGAGACACCTAATTATATTTAAGTAAAACTAAAAACGTTGAAAGAAGGTATGTGGGCCCTAAGACCTGATAAATCATGACTCACATTAGATTGTATTTCTATATCAGCCTTCTCTGACCTGCAAGATGTGTTGAAATAACACCCCCCCCCCCGCTGAAATCTTAAGGAAACCTGGTTATACTCTTACATGATCGTGTATTTTTTCTTTCAAAGAGTAACTGTCTCAGAATTTATAAGCCTGTATGCTTTAGTCTACTGTCTGTAAAATAACACCAAACTGTGATGGACTGGAATGGTGGGAGGGGAGTAAAGAATGTGCTCTCATCTGTTCCACCTCACCTCCGTACTTCTCAGGCATGCTACCAGGTGAACACAGCAACACTGGTGGCAGTGGTGGTGGTGGTGGTGGTGGCTGGGCTCCCGGTCCAATTTGCTGTATTAGTTGTCCCATAACTGCTTGCAGGTTATTAATCTGTGCATCCACTTGCTGCTGGTGTTGTAGTAGTGCAGCGGCCAAGAGCTGAAGGGTCAAATTAGCTCCCTGTGGATCTGTAGCCAAGATGTAACTCCTTCTACTGGAAGGTAATTAAGAGTCTGGGAACATTGATGTCGGGCCTAGCCCAAGGAACTCCAAGAGACCATGCAGAATCA